ATATTTGTGTGTGTATGTAGCTATGTATATTGGAATGGAAATACCTGATACTTACTGTGATGTTCCTTTCCTGGCTCATCCTCATGTCAGCATATTCCGGCCTCCTTGACCCCCAGGACCACTTCGAACAAACCCATAAAAGAAAAATGACTAACGTTCACTAACAAGACTAGTGAAAGGACACCAGGGATGTCACAGTATGCTGACACGAAGATGAGCCAGGAAAGCAAAATTAAGGTAAGTATCAGGTAACAATTTTCCATATTCCTGGCTCACCTCATATCAGCATACTGCGGGAATTAACTAGTTAAAAAACCCCAGGGAGGGAAGAGATAATATAATCAAATCAACAGACCATAATATGCTGCTCATAAAAAGAAAACTTTATTGCCAAGCTGAAGACACGACGGAGGAACCGAAAGAATGCCATGAAGAATGCCATTTGGGCGAATGCCGCATCCAGCTTGTAATGCTGGACAAAGGTATTCCAGGAGCGCCCCTGGCAGTGCTACAGATGTCTTCGAGTCACACCTTGGCATACGAAGCCCAGGAAGCTGATACACCCCTAGCAGAATGGGCCTACACTTTAGCCGGAGGAGTTAAGCCCTGCTTGGTGTATGTTGATGTAATGCTGGACAAAGGTATTCCAGGAGCGCCCCCTGGCAGTGCTACAGATGTCTTCGAGTCACACCTTGGCATACGAAGCCCAGGAAGCTGATACACCCCTAGCAGAATGGGCCTACACTTTAGCCGGAGGAGTTAAGCCCTGCTTGGTGTATGTTGATGTAATTACAGTTTGAATCCAAGAGGCTAAAATTCTGCTTCAAGCTAGAAAACCTTTCTTTGGCCTGCCTGGCACAGTGAAGAGACTGTTTGCCTTTCTAATACTTCTTGTTTTTGTAAGGTATGTCAAAATTTAATTCACCAAGTCCAAGAAACCTCAAAAAGCTTCCTGAGGAGTTGTAGATTCTACTCGAAAGACTGGGAGAACTGCTTCCCAATTTGTATGAATGGCCAAAGCCACCATAAGAAACTCCGGGGAAGGACATAAAATGACTTTGTCCAGAAGAAGGATACAATAATGGCTCTGTAAAGGATAAGGCTAATAGCTCGTCTGGCCGAAGTAATGGCAGTTCAGGAACCACAGGGAGCAGGTTTCCAAAGGAATGAAAGGTGCTAGGACAAGAGATTTTAATACCAAATCTAAATCCCATGAGGGAAACGAAGCTCTTTTTGGAGGATGTAATCTGACTTCTGCCTGCATACAACGTTTCCCCAAGGAGTTATCTGCCCACTTAATTTCAGTAAAACAAGATAAGGCTGAAATTTGCATTTTCAGCGAATTATAGGCCATGCCACTATCCAGAGCTGACTGTAAAAAATCTAGAACCTCAGGCAACTGTGGACAATAGGCCGAAAAATGCTTTTCTTCTGCAAAATGAAGGAGCTTAGCCTACATTCTACCATATGTATTGTTAGTATTAGACTTTCTGGATTTGAAAAGTGTAGAAATCACTTGCTGTGAAAAGTCTTGATTCTTTAATCTCCCCGATTCAGCAGCCAAGCTACTAGATTAAGTCAGGACGGGTTTGGATATTGCCAATGGCTTTGAAATAGAAGATCCCGTCTCACTGGGAATAATAGAGATGGAGCCAAACTCATGCTCAGCAGAAGCGGAAACCAAAGCCTTCTCGGCCAATATGGCAGGATGACTGTGGCGTGAACAGACTTTCAATTAATTTTCTGAAGAACTTATAGAGACATTGGGATCGGTGGAAAGACATAAACAAATGGGAAAGTCCAAGCTTTTGCGAATGCATCCTGCGCTAAGGTTTCTTGGAATCTGTATCTGGAGAGAAAAATTGGCAATTTTGCATTCCCTGGTGTTGCCATTAAATCTCTTTCTGGGTTTTTCCCACTTCTTGATGACAGGAAAGAGGTATTTGTTGTTCAAATCTCATTCACCATTGTTTGGGAACACTCTGCTGAGCATGTGACTCCGCCCAAGCAAATGTCTCGGCTGATATGGTGAGGGGAGGAAAGCTCTTGGTTCCACCTTGTGTGGTTACAAAGGACACTGCTCTCTTGTTGTCCATCAAAACTTTGACGCACTAGTCCTGTAGGTCTTGGAAGGCTTGAAGAGTGAGAAGGGTAGCTTTCAGCTCCAACCAGTTTGATCTCCGAGGCACAGGTTCCTGCCAGTGTCCTTGCACCTGATGACCTAGGCAATGAGCCCCTCAGCCCGGGAAACTGGAATCTGAAGTAAGAATGATCCAGCCTCCAGGGTTGATAAGCATGCCCATCAACAGATGGGAGGAAGCCAACCACCACATCAGGTCTAGCCGGATTGGCAGAGGAAAGGTGATTTTCTGATCCAACAACACTTAATTCCACTGTTGAAGGAAAGACATCTGAATCCTCCTCATGAATTAAGCTTAACATAGAGATTGATCATATTTGGTAATTAAAATGGATGCCTAACTAAGTTACTAATCAGAATGTAGGTTAATCAATTATTTTCTGATTAATTCATTCAACAATTTTCTGTTATCATTCTCTTCTTTTACAGTTTGGAAGATAATATTCTGACAGACAGTTCCTGCCCCCACTTAGTGTCTGGAATAAGAAATAACCAGACACTGAAGAGACTTCAGCTGAATAGGAACAATCTGGAGGGTCCTCATTTCAGGGATGTGATGGAAGCTCTGACAACAAGCCGGATAGAGGATTTAGAGTAAGTATAACAGGACTGAATAAAATATTAATTTATTGAGTTTACATCCACAACATGTAAACATATGATATCTTATTGAAACTTTGATTGCGTTTCCAGAGGGACACAATTGGGTTGATTTACTAAAGGCAAACAGGCTATTCTTTTTGCAAGGGGAATTTTCGCTTAGCTTGGTAAATGAGGTGAAGATCTGCCACCTTCCAACATCCAATCATGTGCAAGTAAAAACCAAGCTGAGTGGAAATTCCCTTCCAATATAAACAGCATATTTGCCTTTAGTAAATTCACACCAGTGTGTGTGTGTGAGTGTGGCCCCACATATGGAAACAAAACATATATAGTGTGACATAAGGAAAGGAGAAGTCATCGAGGGGGGCGATATATTTCCCCTCGCTTTCTATCCTATGTACAGGAATAGCGGAACCCAGACCAGGTTTTCAGGTTGACTTTGGGTCTGAATAATCCAGCTCGGGTTTTGTGTCTCTCACCTGGATTGTTAATTGCTTATCCAGGTGAGATAAAAAGGGAAGGCTGAAGCATGATGTTGCTCTGGCCTGGGACTCAGACAGCATTCTGAGAGAGCTACAAGTTGATGGTTGTGAGGAAAAGGTTGCTGAAAGTACTTTTGTTTTGTGAGGTGGCTGAGATAAGCTCACCCCCTGGTAGAGAGGAAACCTGCCTGTTTAGTCAGAGCCTGAAAGGCAAGGATTTGTTTTCTGATTTATTTTTGTTTTATTGCAACCTTTTAAATAAAAACTGACTGCAAATCAGATAAAAGAAGGACTTTGAGGCCTGGACTACATTTTTCCCAGGGAAGGTGATCCCCCATTTGAGCTATACCCCACAATAGTTATATATGATTAATAGGGCTGGTAATGATTAAAATTTTCATGTTCGATTAATCGAAATTTTTTTTAATCGATTAATTGATTAAGATTAATTATAACGCACATACAGATCCAACTACATTGGCCTATACACATACAGCACAGCAATGAAGTAATAAAATGAACTAGGATCACACTAATCCAGCACGTTATTAATCTCACGTGCCCCACTCAATATGGCCGCCGCTTGAGTGGGGCAACTCAGAATAATAACATGCTGGATTAGTGTGATCCTAGTTCATTTTATTACTTTGTTGCTGTGCTGTATGTGTATAGGCCAATGCCTTGGCTGGCGCTCGTGCAGAAAGTTTCTTGGGCAAACTCACCGGCCCAAGTGGCTCCGTCGGCTAACGAAGGGGGAAGGAGTCCGGTGACGTCACCGGATTCCTTCCTCCTTCCCTTCGTTAGCCGTCACGGACATTGACGTCACCGGACTCCTCCCCCCTTCCCTTCGTTAGCTGACGGAGCCACTTGGGGAAGGGGGGAGGAGTCAGGTGACGTCGATGGCCGTGACATCACCGGATCGCTGACGGGACTCCCGGAAGCCGGCGGAGAGGTGAGTGTGTTCATTAGCGATCAAAATAATTTTAATCGATCAAAAAGTTTAACGATTAATCGAGAAATTAATCTTTAATTTCCACAGCCCTAATGATTAAGTATGGTTCTATATGATATTGATTAACATACGTTACCAGGCAACTGAAGATGCCTGTCAAAATTAAAAAGGTGCATGTTCCCCCGAGCTTCCTGCCCCAGAGAGGAAGTTCTTAAAGCTGAACTCCAGCTCTACCTTTACTTCCCTAACACTTGTAGCAAGTCCTCTCCTGTCTTGAAACTGATTACTCTCAAGTCCCTGCAAACTTGCATCTCCACAATATAACCTCTTAAAGATGCAGCAGCTATCTTGAGCCCACTTTCATTTCCTGCCTGAATGACTCATATCATTCAACATCCCCGGCATCCCTTTAGATGTTCTTGCAACCAGAGACAAGCGATCAACAGACTGCACAGCTAAAGTCTGCATCACCTAGTGGCCAGCAGGGAGAAGAATGTACATTTAAAGGTATCCCGGGGATGTGAACTTTCATATAATCCTTTTGAAAAACATCCGAATCAGAATGCTGTGATGTTTACAGGAGGCTGCCGGCCCCCAAACCCATTGCAAAGAGCATCAGAGAGATGCAGTGATGAAATCACTGGTCCCCCAAACGGGTATTTCTTGAAAAATAAAATTATTTTATATTGCATGTTGATCACAGGGAAGTGGGGGGGGGGAACATGGGAAGGTATTTCCAATTCAGCTTTAAATTAACGAGAGCTGTTTGGCCCTAAGGTGCATTTTATGTTAAACATGGACATTTGCCTTGTATATACTGTAAATAGGGCAGCACAGTGGTGTAGTGGTGAGCACTTCTGCCTTGAAGGTCTGGGGGTCCCTGGTTCAAATCTTGGTCAGTGCACTATCTGCAAGGAGTTTGCATGTTCTCCCTGTGCTTGTGTGGGGTTTCCTCCTACATTTCAAAGACATGCTGGTAGGTTAATGGACTCCTATCTAAATTGGCCCCTGTATGTATGCATGTGAGATATGGACCTTAGATTGTAAGCTCCTTGAGGTCAGGGACTGATGTGAATATCCAGCTATGTAAATTGTCGGTGCTAAATACCTGTAATAGATAAAGAACACACAGTCTACCTTAATAGCACCTGTAATCTGTATCCCAGCAATTATCCTCTCCCCTGAAGATCCCATTTCCTGAGCCTAGGAATATGCAGATCAGGTTCTCAACTACGGCCTTATAAAACAAAGGAATATAATATATCTTAATCTGTACACCCCTACCTAATAGGCACTGCTTGGAACCTCCCTTTTTTGTTATTATACATATTTCTGATCAAGGCCACACAGACATCCCAAACGGAAGATATAGCCATAAGTTCTTTTTGTAATTCTTGATACATTCGAGCCAGTTTAGGACTTCTGTCATGTCGTTTCTACTGTATCTGTCCCCGCTGGGGAAATTCTCCTTCTCTGTTTAGGTAAATATTGTCCAAATGTACCTATAAAAATGCCCAATGAAGTATATTTCCTTCTAGTCA